GAGCACCAAAATTTATATACCATAAATATGTCAACTGCTATAAATACAGCTATACTTTTTTTCCTTTGTCTTCTAATAATAGTTAAATTGTAACAAAAGAATTTGTGTGGTACAAGGAAAAATAATGAAAAAAAATTGAAACAGAATTTGCTTGCTCTACACACGTGAACCAAGTATTTTCATAAAACTCATTTTCAAGATATTTTCTTAGAATTAAATGCAATTTTAGTGGAGATACATAATATTCATTTATTTACTTTAAAAGAGTATGGTTTTGGTTCCTGCACTATTACGGGAGGCGAGCTTTAGGATCTCTTTTAGGGCTTCTATTGGCATTGAATTCGAGGTATCGACAAGTTATTGTTGAACTTGATAGTCAATGCGTTACGAAAATGGTGAAAATTTTGGAAGGCTTTTTTGGAGCTCATGATGTCATGGTTATCCGAGGCTTAATTCAGGGGGACTGGAACGTTCGAGTTCAACATGTATACGGAGAAATGAATTTCGCGGTTGATCATCTGGCGAGCTTGGCGGCATCATATCCTATTGAATTGTATCGAGTTTTTTCATTTCCTATAGGGTTAGGTGCATGGATTGAGCATGATAGCATTGGGGTGTCATACCCCCGACCAGTGACGGATCTAGGAATTTCATCCAGGGAAGCTCCATTTTAAATGTTATAACGAGTTTGTAGTTTATGTCTCATTTAATATAAAAATGTATTTACCATAAATATAAATGTCGATATGTGTACTATCAAGTTTTTCAAAACTTAGAATTCGTATCAAAATTGAGTCTATCAATTTTTTTTTATATATAATTTATGGAAAAATAATATTGTTCAACATCTATAGTTTATGGAATAATAAGTTTTTTTTATTGAGAAACTGTTTTAAATTGAACTTTTTAAAGCACCTTACATATTTGTTGATGAGAGTCTATCAAATTAACATTTTATTTTAAATAAATAAATAAATTGAAAAATATATGATTACACAAAAAAAAAATCAACATTAAAAAATGTAACATTCCAACCAAATATTGTGTTTTATAAATTATTAAATAGATTTACAATTAAGAGGCTGAAAGAGTAAATCGTTATAAATATTTTCAAAATTTTATCCAGAAATATAAAATATAAAGCTTGTTAGTACATTTTTCATAATAAATAATATTATTAATTTAAATCAAAACAACATATAACATAAATTTAAATTATTAGTATGTTGTAAATATTTTTTACATTTCTTTAAAAAAAACAGGAGGTCCCATGGCATCCCTGGGCCCTGTACAGATTCGTCATTGCCCCCGACAAGTTCTAGCCTAGACTTTTAGCCTCCTTCTTTGTTAAAGAAAAAAAAACTATCAAACTACCCGTTTAAATTATTAATTTAGAAAGAAAAACTAAATTAATATTAATATATACTTTAGAAATTATAATACTAAACCAGAAAGTTAGATATTTATAATTTATATTGTTACAAAGTATAATTATAAACCAATAAGTTATCTATCGGACAACAATTTAAATTATTATCTTAGAGAAAAAAATCAAGATATTTATAATGTATAATGTTATAAATTACAATAGTAAGTAAAACGATGTCGAACGGTCTGTAATATTAATTATTGGATTAGAAATAAAATTAGAAGAAAATATTAAAATAATTGTACATAATTAATTAAAATTATATATTTTTTTTATTACTTTAAATTAACATACACTACATTCATTTTTATATTAAAGTATTTGTTTATAATATTTACCATAATTTCAACTAATTTATCATCACTTATTTAGGAATCAAAATGATATATTGTAATCCTCCCTATATATAATTCCCGAATGCGCTGAGCCTACGTGGCTGCTTCTGGTGTTTCGAAATCTATTTGGCGAAGAATCATGCTTCGTAATTAGGTTTGGATAAATAATATTGATATATTAATAATTAATAATCTAGGTTCAGGTATTCCATAAATATTATTTAGCTAACTTAGGTATTTTAATATCACTTTTACTAATATAACCCTTTAATTCTTTGTAATTTTACATAGTGAGACATTAAGTGACTAATATATCCCTGAATTTTGATTTGTTTCCTTCAATACGCTATTGAATTATAAATGTATTTTAAAAGTTG